CGTCAACGTCGTCGAGTTATATCGAGGAAAACACCAAGGCAGAACAGAAAATAGAAAGGCCGCTGTGGGATAAAGAGTTCCCGAAAATTCTTCCACCACCGGTTAGTCCATGGTTAGCCCTGCTGCTGCACAGTAATCGGCCTGTTCAATCATTTTGTGGTTATTACTTGATATTTTCAGGTACATGTTCCTGAAAAAGAAAACAAAGAAGTAGATGTGGAGCCCGAAATTCTGGAAGGAGGGCTAGAAGGACCAAATGCTAAAGAACCTCCGGCTGATCCTCGATCGGATATGCTTGACCCTCTAGGAAATCTATTGTTTGATGATCCAACTCAGCTAAGCGTTGATTCAAAGGAATCGGTCGTGGGTGCGGTGAAAAGAACTTTTAGGAATCCTAGGCGTTCACCTAACGTGGCTGGAGGCTTGAGGCTTCACAAAACACAGGATACAGAAGAACATCATAGCAGTACAAGGACATCAAGTTCGAGTATGAGAAAGTCAGTAAAATAATGGAGCGAATAGCACCAATGTTCAAATGTGGATGACTGAATAAAAGTTGAAATTAGAGGACGAATTGTTTTCACAAAAGAATGCCATCTAATTCCTTTGGCACACACCTCGCGTCCCGCCTCTTTACGGAGGTTTCCCAATGTTGAGGCTTGTCAGTCTTCGGCCTTCTTGGGAGTTATAGTGCATTATATGAATATCGTAAGTTAGGCAAATGTGTTAAATCGCAGAACATTTTCATCTTTGAAATCCCCAGATGTCAGTTATTGCTCTAGTGGAAGCCCTAAGGCTAATGTTTTAAAAGGGAGTGGTACATTATGTCCAGTCATAGGACGCATCTCTGCCTCCCGAACGCTCCAAAGTGGAATGGTTTACGGCAAAATTTTCCTCCATAAGCTCATAATTACTATGAATATTTGAACAGATGCTCTCGTTGTTGACTTGAACGTCCTGACGCCGTTTGCGCAATACCAGAAGGCGTTGCGCCACAATCCGAACGTGTTGCATTGCGCTACACTCTCTGCGTAATGCTCCGCTCTGCTTTAAGAGCACCGCTCAAAAGCGATTCTCATCTTTAAAGTAGTCAGGTTCACTGGCTGTCCAGGAATGTTGAACTCCTGAGAATAAGTCTGTACAGGAGGGGTAGGTGAAGGCCTGCGACTCAGTGTTTTTTAAATTGCCCAGCTCGTCAAAAGGGCTTCAATGCACTCCGATCTTGAGATCGGCCTACCCATGGCTATCAAGCAGTCTATCAGTCTGTAGCCGTACATGCATAACAGGCTTCTCTAACTCATAACAGAATTTCTGACCAGAACATCATTTGGCTCCACTGAGTGCCCTGTGGATCACTCTGTCAAATGCGTAGAACTCAAAAAAATCAAAGGAGTTCTCACGAAGAGACTTATGTCATATTGGAGTGTAACTGGGGCTGAGTAGGGTGGGAAAGATGTAGACAGACCTGGTATTGGCAGCTCATCGCCTCCATCTGAACACCAGACGACTCTTAAGAGCTTATCAGAGCTCATCACAGTTTAAACAGCTATTTCTCATTCAAACAGACACCTAAGAAGCTCCCTGATGTGGTTTGTCCTCACTAAGGAGATGCATCGAGTCTGTTGATGGTGGACGTACCCGTTGCGCAACCCCTTCGACCGTCCTACGATGAGGGCGTGGCAACGATGGCGGCAACCACCTTATCCTATTCATACTACCATCAGCTCCTACTACTGTAGAGTTGTTGATAGTGAAATCATATCGATTTCTAATTTCTTATCAATAAATCAATTCAATTACCAACTATGGCACCCATGACGGTCACGCCTGTGCGACTACGACATCGATGTGAGTCCTTTCCTTCTTTGAACAGATTTCTTATTAAATTACACAACCCAATAAATTGAAATTTCAAGCGATTTTAAACCCTCCACATGACTTGTTCCCCTTTGTTCCCTAGAACCAAACTACCCATTTACTCCAGTCTTTCACCCGTGCACGCATCTGGTAACTTACTCAGTTCTTAGAGTGAATTGCGTCAGACGCTTAGGAGGGTGTTTCTTGTTCTTCTGGACAAACATGACGTCCATTGACGACCAACAGTGAGAAGGTGAGACTAGATCGTTGGCTAGCTTTGAAGCTGACAGAAGTGAAATGTACCTTAATCGTTTTTCATCTTCAGGGAAATCATCTGAATTTTGAGAAGTGTAGATAACTATTATACAGCTCTATTTACACTAACTAAAACAATGAATCGAACATTACATCAGTCTTGAGATGTAGATGCTTTCCGTATGCTCCTATAACTGCACCCGAAAACCAACGATTTCGAATGAAGCTCAAGGCATGGCGCAGCCTATGCTTAATTGTTTGCTAACAAGTAGTTAATTCGTTTTTTACAAAAACAGCAAAAAATGTAAACAACAGCATGGCCCAAGAACCTTCTCATAAGAAGCTTGTCTTTACGTGGCCAGAATTTTTGGACCCAAACTATTTGTTCTCCACCTTATAACACAAAGCCTCCATTTCCACCACTCCGAAACTATTTTTTAATAGAACAGAAACCCAAATCAATTTGGTATGAACTGCTAGCTCATTGAGCTCTGAGTTTCGAACCTTGTAAACGTCTCTGGAACGTTACTTCGAAATCTGCGATAGGAGACGAGGGGAAGAGAGTTGGTGTTGAGGTATATCCCAGATAGGCCGAATTAATACCTATAAGGTAACCGCAAAACCCGTATCGTGTTAAGATGAATAGGCCGATCTAATTCAGTGGGAGGTTCCAATATAGCAATACTGGCTACCAAAACCGAACTGAGACTGTCAAATTGAAGTCCTTAAGCTATAGCTAATGTTGAAGGACTACCTATTGAACGGAATATTTTGAAGGGAGGAACTTTCAGCCACGTCTTTTGTTTTGGTCCTAACAGATATGCTGTACATGTCCATGGAATAATTTGAATAATTATAGCTTATTTGCAAATTCCCTTGCCCGTCTGTACTCTCCTGTTCCCTCTATGACCTCAGCCGTAGGATGGTCTACGGTCGCGTCTGCCTATTACGCAACAGGTGGCACTGTAGAAAAACAGGTCGTAGCTAGCCGACCGACAAACATTCTCCAATTACTCCAATATTTGTTGATCTCTTAGATATCAGACAGAAATAAACATACATTTATGTACTGCTGATGACCTTGAACGGCTTTCTCGCTGCCCTCCCTCTCTTAAATTTCCGTTAATACAGGAGAAAATCAACCACAGAAATATGGATACAGTAAACTAATGGAGCTCGTCTTTGTTTTTATCTTTTAGTAGATATTTTATAGCGAATAGATCCATCGAGTTACTGTAGCCGGTGCTTTACGGTACGCAGACCGGTGATTGTAAATCACTTGTTCTACAAGGGTCTGTTGCTTAGAGATAATCATCTGAGGTTGTAAAGCCCATAAGGCGGTCAGTGTCTGGGACAGGAAAGACAAGATTATCCAGTAACTGAGAAGCCGAGAGTCTACCTAACGGTAATTCTAGTTATTCTGGACGTTGAGAGGGGAGGCAAGGATGGGTGCTACTCCTACAGATGTGATAAGTGTTTCGAACCAGTCTGACCATTGACCATTCTGACTCGGAAGCAAACATCTGGAAGCAAAAGAGAAATCATGAGCTCGGGCATGNCAAGATTATCCAGTAACTGAGAAGCCGAGAGTCTACCTAACGGTAATTCTAGTTATTCTCGGATGGGTGCTACTCCTACATATGTGATAAGTGTTTTGAACCAGTCTGACCATTGACCATTCTGACTCGGAAGCAAACATCTGGAAGCAAAAGAGAAATCATGAGCTCGGGCATGCTGAAGTCGTGGTATAGGAAGAGCTTAAATCTTACCTGTAAAGACCACAAACCTTAAGTAACAGTGAGAGTTTTGCACAGCCCATTTCAGCTGTGTATCTCCACCCTTTTACGGATTTCTTAGCACTAAGCCTAAGTAGGTTGATGGGCAACTAATAAATTCAATCAGAATTTTTTCAGCCACTCCTTACATGCCATCGTACATGGAGGATGGTCAAGCATGTGTCGTATGCGGAGATGTCGCCACCGGGCTGCACTATAGGTAAGCCCTTAAGAATATATAGAGTTTTTGTGGCCCTTAAGTTGAAATAATTCGAATTTGACAGCCGATGACTAGCTTAAACTCTGTTGTTCCAGGGCGATTACCTGTGAAGGATGCAAAGGTTTCTTCCGCCGAACTTCACAGGTACGTGAAAAAGGCCTCCATCAGGAAGTCATACCCATATACTTATTCGAGCAGCCGGTTGCCATATGATACGTCTATACTCGATAAAGCTTGACGCAAACGACGCTCTCCTGATTTTCACCATTACAGCGTCGCCTTACGTACACCTAACTTCACAGGTACGTGAAAAAGGCCTCCATCAGGAAGTCATACCCATATACTTATTCGAGCAGCCGGTTGCCATATGATACGTCTATACTCGATAAAGCTTGACGCAAACGACGCTCTCCTGATTTTCACCATTACAGCGTCGCCTTACGTACACCTGTAAAAGTGGTGAGAAGTGTGAAATCAACAAGCAGACGCGGAACGTTTGCCAACGCTGCCGATATCTCAAGTGCACAGCAGCTGGAATGAGCGCGGATTGTAAGTGATCGGAGTTCATCTTTCAACTATTCTGTCTGATTGCTCTTTTATTGAACCGTAAGGTTCACGGGAAACCTGTTTGGACAATTTCCACCTTCCCAAAAGGCAAGAGCCAGCGTAGGGAAAGAGGCCGAAACATTGGCCCACTGATGCATGGAATCTTGGGAGGACTAAAGTTACCTCATGTACAAAAAACGCTACTGATTGCTGGAAACCACATTGATATTGCTAAATTTTGACTTATGCTTCTATTCACCCATGCTGGTCATTAGGCAGACAAGAAAAGCATTCAGATACCATTACAATCCAGGAAAGGAAGTGAATGCGTAGCGTATCTCGAAAAATAGCTGCCTCAAAACGCTTTTCGTCCCTCAACAATCCTCAGGAGATCGTCAGATTTGCCTAAGATCAGACTTTTCAGTGGTTCTGAATGAGGACGAACGGGTTCAGAAACGTGAACTCATCAAAGAAAATCGTGAACGACGCCATTTGGAACAGCTATTGACTATTATCAAGGGTCCACCGCTTGATGAGAATCATCAGAAGGAGCTGTTGTACGAGGTAAGCTAAGGATTTCTGAGCAGGCATCCACGGGAATGTGGGCCTTCTGGGTTCGAGTTGCTACCTGGGTTAGAAACAGCCTGAGTTTTTAAAATTACTTTTGTTTCAGATCGATCTCATTACAAACTCCTACTGCCGAAATATCGATCAGCCGATAAGTCAATCGGTGCGGTCGATCAACGGCAACGAACCAGACAGTCAGCTGACGGAAATTCTACGCGTAATCGTTCGCAGGAGCACAGATTTCGCCAAAGTTGTCGGAGTATGGAATACGGTAGGTACAGTATATCGCCACAACAGCTAACGCAATTAATATTAATGTCCAGTGCGAATTCCGTTATTTGCCTCTAGAGTCTCCTGAAATCTTCTCGAATAGGTCTTTTCAGTTATCAGTAGAATGCCAGACCCAACTGCTGAACTCGACAGTGATGGAAGTCCACCTCCTTCGATTTGCATCGTTTTTCGATGAGGCTGAAGATAGCTTCAGACCTGCTGCCAACGTCTCTCTTAGTCATGGCGACCTTCTGGAAACTTTGGCTGTAGACGTTGTCGACCACGATGAGATGGGTGGGTACATTAGGTCCCAATACACATGGTGCTTCTCCAAAATGGGATAATTTAAGATGAACTTCGAGAGCTGCTCACATGCTTGTTCTCTTTGGCTAGATCGCTGGCTGATTTGCAGCTAGACGATCGCTTACTAGCTGTGCTGAGTGCGATGTTCATCTTCGATCCAAGCAACGTGTCCGATCCATCAATGGTATGTCTCCCACAATTATTCCATAAATTGGAAGTGGCTGTCACCCACGTCATATTGAACAATTTGGTATATCGTCGTGGTGCTTTCGACTGCTGATATGCACGTAATATTGTGATCCACTATAAAAAGGGTGGATTGTAGGTGTTAGACTTGGAGACCTCAATGTTTACAAGTGCCAACTTTTGATGCGCCACGAAACTGCCTTCCTTTTGGAATTTGGTTGTGTTCAATTGCGTACTTGGCTATTACATTAAGTTCGGTCGGTCGACCANGCAGGAGCACAGATTTCGCCAAAGTTGTCGGAGTATGGCATACGGTACGTACAGTATATTGCCACAACAGCTAACGCAATTAATATTACTGTCCAGTGCGAATTCCGTTGATTGCCTTTTCAGTTATCAGTAGAATGCCAGACCCAACTGCTGAACTCGACAG